GAGGCCCAGAGAATATAAGGCATTTGCCCAAGGTCATGGCCCTGCTGAATGGTGAGCAATGCATGCACTGGAGCACTGGTCTGTCTGACTACAAGATTCCCCTGGCAAGTCACAAGAAAGGGAACGGTCACCACTGACTACACAATATCGTTCTGGCACCACATTTGCCCAGGCAAAGCTGTTCTGATGGTAGGGTCCTGTGCCTCCTGCTCTGCTAACTGGAGAGTTCACACCCTGCCTTAGTCCATGTGCACCAAATAGCTCCTTAACCACAATTTGGCTTCTCAAACAGAACTGTCTATAAACAGAGAACACATTGATAAAATAAATACACATATTTTGAGAAGACATGACAGAGATAATTTTCAATGTCATGTAACACACTAGAATTTTGGCTGTTTTGATTTGGGTTAGTGTGAGGTATTATCCCCAAGTCTTGTGACATCAACTTTAGGATTAATGCTCTAGTTTGTAAGGCTAAGGTCCTAACTTCTCATTGCAGTGACTGAACTATGATAATTCTCCCTAAGGAACCCAGACAGTCCACATCTTTTTTAGAATCACAATGAAATTATCATCATTATCTTTGAATTGTAGCCTAGGCTATAAAGTGCTTTTGTGTATATTTTAGATACTTTTTTATGTACAAAACCAGTATTGAGGGGCTAGTGTTGTGGCATAGCAGGTTAAGCCACCACTTGTGTCACTAGCATTCCCTATCAGAGCACTGCTCCACTTCAATCCAGCTGCCTGCTGATGCACCTGACCTGGCCCACCTCTGGCTATTACAGATATCTGGGGAGTGAATCAGCACATGGAAGTGCTCATTCTCTCTCTCTCTCCCTATCTTTCTCTCTTTCTCTCTTTCCTCTCTCTCTCTTCTGTGTGCATACATTCTGCAATGCTAGAATAAATATTAAAAAGTCTCTTTTATGCTTTCTTCAAAAAGTGGTAAATAATAACAGAAGATGGTATAAAAAGCCATTTTTAATTCACTCTGTAGTATTAGAGCCTCTGTGTGAGTGTGTGTGTTTCCACCTTCCTCTATTGCTCTGCCTTTCAAATAAAACACATCTTTTAAAAAAGAACAATTTTCATTGATAGCTAACTATTTGCCTTAATTCATTAGCATGTTTTGTGTATCGTGGGTTGGGAACATCCAGCCTACTGATTGTACAAGGCTCACAAAATCATTTGGTCTGACCCTACCAAGGCAACTGTAGGCAGGACTCATAATTCAATAGATCTATACAGGATCAATTTTAAATTGATCATTTTACCATGAATGATGTTACAAATATCCAAATGGCCCTTGGCAGAAAAAAATGTTCCCTACTTCTGAGTAAATAATGATAAAAATAATAATGGGAATAATAGTAAAATCCTAAACAGCACTTATTTGTGTAAAACACAGTTTCCAAAGCTTTCCTTGGGTATATTCTTTTAATAAAATAAACCCATATGTTATAACTATTTTCAGGTGAGGACACTGAGGGTTGGAGAGGTTAGAGGATTTTGATAATATCTAGAAAGGAGAACCAGAATTTAAATATATGGTTTCTAAATATATTATGACTTTATAGGACTTCAAGATATGACTTAAAATATAACACCTTCGGCAGGTTCTGCTCAAAGCAATGTCAGAGCAAACTGTTTAAAGACAACAGAAAACTGTAAAACTGTGAAGTTATATACAATGTTTTAATTCAAAGGCTACCAAGGCAGCAAGAATCCAGGAGCTGAGACCTTTAAGAGCAGAGAAGCCAAAAGACACAAGCCTGGTAGCTGGTGGCCCAATTTTCCCTTTGAAGCAAACATCAAGCACATTAGCCTCTAGAGCAAATGTCCACTCCTTGAAATTTTTTTATTTTTGTACAGAGAGACAAATTTTCAGTTGATAAAATTAAAATTCCAGAGGCATTCTGTCCCTGCAAGGGATTTCCACACTGAATCACGTGACACTCAATTACAAGCTGACATTAGTGACATCACCATCCAGCAGAAACCACATTTCTCTTCATACCTGTGCTTCCTGCTGTTGAACTTAACCTCTTTAATTACGCTGCATGTATCAGTAACTTCTCCATCTGTGAAGACAAATGCTCATCAAGCCTCTGTCAAGTTCATTTTAAGATTTCAGACTTTGCCTTTGAAAAAGGCTCTGCTACTTCTTCAAGCAGTCAAGACATCCCTGAAGTTCAACTGTCACTCCCAGCATGTACTCTTAAGGCCTGTTCAGCATCCTAGCTTCATCTAAGGTTGTTGTGGCACTCCACAAAAGAGTTTCTATTGTCCAGTGCATGGAGTTAAGGAAAAAGAACAAGGAAAAGGTTTCTACTGACAACTGGATAGAAGACTCGGTCTTGTAAGCCATATTTCAACAGTGCTTCAGTGAAGTTCAGGGGCTTTTGGCATGGATTCTTGAGTGGAAACTTTCACTCTCTCTGTCCTTCAGTTAGCTGTATCCCAATTCTTACTGTAGGGGTGGCCTGCAATGGGGGTTCTTCTGTCAATGTCTTGGAGTGGTGTCAAGGTTTCAGTGCCCCCTGGGTCTGCATTCATGAGCTGCACTCTTCTCACTGCCTCCTCCATGGTTTGCTGGGTGTGCTTTGCACTGTCCCTGAGAAAGGCAAACACTCAGTTGTCCTGTGATGGCTGCTCACCACCATCCAGTGCTGAGTCCTTGGATTAAGATGCCCCCATCAAAAAAAAAAAATCTTACCTGAAATGCCCAAAGCCAAAAGCCATTCTACAATAACCCCTTTAACAATCAATTCCCTTTCTTAAAGTATCTTTTTGCACTCTATGGCCTTTCTAGAAACTTATGGAAAGAATGCCTCAAACGAAGATCCAAATTCATAGATGTTGAAATAACAGCCTATGGACAAACTCTTCAGGAGCAAAAGTAGAGTTTCCTAGAGGTAAGAGAGTATGAGGAGACAGAGGATCCTCTCAGACACACAGGCGCTGCCAATCCAACACTTCACCCCTCTTTGTGCCTCCTCATGTTCCCAGGCTAGCCTCAGGTTGGTCATGCTAGTTCAGCTCAGATGCAAAATGGAGCCACAGCTGCAAATGGCCATCTACCCCTGGAATTCATCCTTAGTTGAACAAGTGACCCAGAAAAAGAAAGGTATCAGCTTTCCCTTGGCTGCCTCTATGCACAGTTGAGATTTATCCTGTTTGCTCATAGGGCACTTCATGCTTCCTGAGTGTGGGGAGCAACTCGGACTAGACTAAGTTACTCGAATTAAGACTTATTCTATGCATCTGCTCTCCCACAATATGGCGCTGGGAGAGGAGTAAACAGCTTCTACACAGCTGCCTCTCGCCAATTTGATTGACTGAGCTGCAGGAGCTGATCTTGCTCCTGATTGCAGGAGAGCAGCGTACTCGGCGTGTGGGTAGCAGAGTTGGGATTGGTGGAAGAGGACTATAAAGGAGGAGAGAGACAACATGCACCAGGAACATCTATCTGAAGGAACACCTGAGCAGCCCCCGAGAGAGCCGGCCGGCGGTGTGCCGCTCCCCCGCAGAAGTGGGGAAAGTGGCAGGGGGAACCGCCCTTCCACGGAGGTGGAAGGGACGGTAACCAACCTGGGAAGAACCAGCAGCAAACCTGGGGAGGGCCGAGCAGACAAAAGAACAGCACAGGGTCCTGTGTCGTTCCTCCGTGAAGAGGGGGAGCGACATAATGGTGCCATGACTCAGATAGGAAACCTAGGCAGGGTTCAGTATCGCTCCTCCATGAAGAGGGGGAGCGACACCTGAACAGTCCATGAGGAAGACAAATTCCCCATAGGTAACTGATGGTACAGTTTCTGGGACATCTGGACAGAAACTCACCATGGCACATGGAACTCCCATCAAACAATCTATACAGAAAGAATAAGGTACTTGTAAGACAAGAAGGAACTGAAGAATCTTGTAATTTCCCCAAATCAATTGTAGTGAGTTTAATAGGGAACTGAGAAAACTCAAATCAAAAACACTATGTCTGATTCTAATGCACTTCTACTTCCAAAGGGTTTGAGATAAGTTATAGGCACATAACATACAAAAGTAGAAAAATATGAAACAGATCGAAGAGGTGGGAAGCTAGCAGGCATAACCAATAGTTAAAACAGTGTTTTCAAATGCTAGTTTCCTGGCAGCTAGTTAGAGGGGTGAAATATACTAGGTTAAAATATTTCAGCACTAACAGAAGAATGAGGCAGGTTTATCTACAGAGGCAAAATTTCTCTTCAGATAAAATCAATGGGAAGTTTATCATGTTAGGTCCTTGTTTTAGTCTTTAAAATGATCATGTGGTCAGTTCTTGGGTTGTGAATTACGAGCCCTGAGAGAGAATGTTACACACACCAAAGTCAGCCCACATGTTGGGGATGGGGCACTCGCCAAGACCCCCAGAGAACAGGGACACTGAGATGCACTCGAGCTTTAACAGCATCTAAATGTGGGGTAGAGGAACGTGGGAGCCTGGACTGTGGGCTAAGCTGTCAAGGCCACAGCTGTGATTCCATTTTGAGGAGCAGTGGGAAATGCAGAAGTGGCTTTTTCCATCAGTCATGCCTCAGGGGCCCTGCATTCCCAAGGCACAACAACTCAGAAATACCACAGGACAACCCAAAACTGACATGGGCCCCACCAGTTGTTTTTTTTGTTTTGTTTTGTTTTGTTTTTTTTGACAGGCAGAGTGGACAGTGAGAGAGACAGACAGAGAGAAAGGTCTTCCTTTGCCGTTGGTTTACCCTCCAATGGCCGCCGCGGCCAGCACGCTGCGGCCAGGCTGATCCGAAGCCAGGAGCCAGGTGCTTTTCCTGGTCTCCCATGGGGTGCAGGGCCCAAGCACCTGGGCCATCCTCCACTGCACTCCCTGGCCACAGCAGAGAGCTGGCCTGGAAGAGGGGCAACCGGGACAGGATCCGGCGCCCCGACCGGGACTAGAACCCGGTGTGCCGGTGCCGCAAGGCGGAGGATTAGCCTAGTGAGCCACGGTGCCGGCCCCCCACCAGTTTTAACAACAAAGACAAGTACATATGAACTAAGGAAACTTCAGAAGTTAAGAGACATCAAAGGAAACTAAGCAACACAGCATATTAAGAAGGTAAGCTTACTCTTATAAGTCAAAGGAGCACAGAATGAAAAACTTTGGGAGATGGATGATAGTAATGGATTTCAAATAAACAAATCAAGTTTAACATATATATATATATATATATATATATATATCACCAACATCAAGAAATCAGAAAAATTACAAGTGCACATAATGTAGCACAAAATTTATAAGTATTATCCTCCTTAACACTCACAATCACCACATGAAGTGCTACTGTTTTACAAATCACAATGGCTAAGGTTCAGAAAGGACTTTTGATATGCTCAAGGATACATATGTGCAGCTAACTATAAGTAGATGGTTCTTCACACTAACACTTTTTTTGAACTAGTTCACTTTTATTAAAGAATATTCTGTTTTAACTTAATCAAATTATGTGCAGTCATGTGAGAAGCCACTTCCATGTTGAGTCGGAATCTTACAGATGTAAGCCCACCACGGAGGCCCCATCCTATGAAAATCACCACTGCTTCTGGCCCAGTGGTGGACAAACAATCAAATTTTCCCTGTCACACTCCTGGTGCAGCTCACAAGTCAACAGTTACTCACTGAGGAACAGCCGGAGTTTGCCATCCAAAGTGGCTGAGTTGAAGGCCTGTCCTGTGACCACATCTGTGTGCCCTGACAGGCCATGAGAAAAAGTGCTTGAGAAATCTGATGTACATATGCTTGGTATTCCTCGGAGCCACCGTCCACAAATTGTCCACAAGGACCAAAGCAGCTCCACATGGAGAGCAGTGGCTTAGGTGTCTGCCAAAAACTGGCACTCACATCTCAATCTAACCCCATGGTCTAATCCCACCACCAGTGGCGATGAGCCTGGCATTGTGAGCACTAAATGATGATTCCTATCATGTGGACTACAGTTCCCTCATTTCACTCCCATGGCACAAGATAGACACAAGGTGAACAGAGAGTCAGCTTCCACTGTCCAGATCTCCATTTTATTTTGACATATCTGATGGACAGACTGTGAATAGCTGTAATCACTACACCATAGCCTGAATTGAAGTCAAAGTCTTCCAGGCCCAAGCACCAGGAAGCTGTGAGTACAATGCAAGAGTAGAAGTCATTCACTGCTTGCAGACTGGTCACCTCTCCACCATCGGCCACTGGCTTGAACTTGCCCTTTTGTTCACATCGTTTCTGCTCCTCCCTGCCTGTGTCTTGGTGATACTTCAAAAGCTGCAAGCCAGGAACAGAAGAGAGCAAAATGCAGGTGTCTGCACAAAGAACTGTGAAGAGTGCACAGGCTTGGAAAACACATCTTTTTCCAAGTGTAACAGGGACCACACTCTCAGAGCCCTGTCCTGAGCCTCAGAGAGCAACCACCTCCAGCAGACGGTGCCCACGGCTCGACTGTGACCTGCATAGATAGTGGGTGTGCAGTACAACCAGCCTCAAAGACCTGAGTCTATCTCCTGAGTACTGAATGCAGCACATGGCAGCCAGCTTGTGGGCAACATTCACCTGCTGACCTGGGTTGGTCCATACAGAATTCTCCCAAAGTAGTCCTTGCATGGTGCTGACGTGTAACCCAATGATCAGACTTTAACATGGAAAACCAGGGGTCAGTTCTTTATGATATTCCTCATACCTGCCCATAAGTGCCCACCACTCTCAGGGCAGAGCCTTCCCCCAGTCCCAGAAAAGGGAGCCCCGTGCTGTATTCCGACAACCACTCATTCCCTTGGCAAGGTCACAGCCACACTGTGACACCATGAAGAAGAAGACATCAAGAATAGAAGTGTATTGAGCCAGAGACCTCTCTCATTATATTACAGATTCTTCAATAATCACAAGCCATAAGAGAAAAGGTAGAAATTGGAAATCGTAAGGTGAAATCTCTGAAGTCCGTAGAGGAAAAAAGGGAGTCAACAGGGTAGGTGCCCAAAATGGAAAAAAATGGTCACAGGGGATTCATAAGCACTTTGATTCCCTGGCCCAATAAAGATTACCTTGATTACTGTGTACTATGTTGAAACTCCTAAATGGTCTCAACATTAGGCATCTAATCACTCCCTAAGCTCAGGGGGTTCCTGCCTGCTCTTTGGGTATGGAGATATATCATGGATAAGGCTCCAGAGACACTATGACACACTTTAAAATCCCACAGAAGTAGGAGATGTTTTCATTTCCAGTAACTCCAAGAATAAAAACTCTAGGGAGGCAACAGATATATTGATTCCTTTATGCTTGAGATTCTGAATGAAAAAGAACCCAACCCCAACTCTGGGATAAGAAAGATGTTTGTGACAGAAAATTCCACAACTCCATAGATGAAACTGAGGAATGAGGAGGAAAGAAGTATGTGTTTTCCATCCTTGACCAAACTATGATGCTTTTGACCTTTTAAGGGCTCAGAGCTTCTCTATCAATTTTTACTTTATTTCTCACTCCAGCGACCTGGAGAGCAAAGATCAGAGGAGAAAGCACCACTCAGGGCTTCTCTCTCACTTGATGTAATGACCCGAGTGCCTTCCTCCTGTCACTCACTCACACAGCAGGCAGAGAGGCATCCCTTCATTCTGTTTTTTATTCATTACTATATAATTCAGTATCTATCCTGTTCCAAGCACCACACAGCAACTTGCAATTTCAAATAAGTTGGGTATATTCCCAAACATAGAGAAAATGTATTTCTGTGACATGAAGAAATTAACAAGCTATGAGACTAAGGTGTATAAAAACATTTTCTTGATTTCTCCCTCATTCTCTTTTTCTTCTGTTTTTTTTTTTTTCCTGAATATAATATTTCTCAAGCTTTGGCCTCTGGGCTTATTTTTCCCTATCTCTTTCAGACTGAAGACTTTGGCTGTCACCACAATACAGGTAATGTCTCAGATTCATTAATAAGAAGTGCACCATGGTAAATATAGTAATAGTTATTCATTAAAAAGCATCTTAATACATATCAAAATATTTCATGAACTTACCATATTTAACATATACAGTGACTCTAATTAAAAAGTAAACATTTAGTGATATAAAATACAAATTTGTAAGACATAAATGAGGAACATATAACCAAGAAAACAACACAATGGAAAGGCAGGAACTTTCCAATTTTCTGCCTACTGTCTTGCTTTTATCATTGATAATTCTCCTTTTTTCCTTAGAAGCATTCTGGTTGGGATGATAAATTCTAGTAGTTAAGACTGAGGCTCCCAGTGCAGGAAATGCTTGGTACTTAATGCAAAATGAGAAGCTGATGTTCAGAGGTTATAAATTACCAGACCATAGTTACACCACAAAATTTCAGAGCATGAACTTACATCTTCAGATCCATAATCAAAGTTCTTTTTCATGTTCCATGTTCATACTTTCCTGGACAGATATTTGCATTTGAGTTGAATATTTGAGAAAAGCTGTATACATTTCTATTGAGGGTAAAACCCCAAGTTAATATATGTGTTGTTCTTGGTTCCTTGTATCCTTGATTCTTTTGAACTGGTCACTGGTCTTGTCATGGAGAAAACATTTGCAATGGTTAAACTTTTTTTAAGATTTATTTAATTTATTTGAAAGACAGTTACACACACACACACAGAAAGAGAGAGAAAAGGGGGGGGTGATCTATCCACTGGTTCACTCCCCAAATGGCCACAATGGCTGGAGCTGAACCAGACCTAAGCCAGGAGCCAGGAGCTTCACCAGGATGAATACTGGACCCCAAGGACTTGCGCTATCTTCCACTGCTTTCTCAGACACGTTACCAGAGAGCTGGTTTGGAAGTGGAGCAGCTGGGACTCAAACCAGCACCCACATGGGATTTTGGGATTCTGATGGTTCAGGCAGTAGCTTAACCCTTTACGCCATGATGCTAGCCCCTGTAACGCTTAAACTTTTAAAAATAACATTTCAAATTATAAGAAATTAGCATCTGGTAAATAAAATCTCAATCAGAAATAATATTCACAAAATATTTTCTAAAGTTTAAGCTTTTATTTCTACAAAAAAAAATCATGTTTATACTGCTTTAGAATCAACAACAATGTGAGTCGTGTTTTACCTGGTACATCACTTATTGCAGGTAATAATAAGATTCCTGTTTTACTGTGTTTTGGATGTTTGGAGGCATATTCTCATGTGTGTTGTGGGAATGTCACACTTACATTTCCCAGTCTTCCCCATCCTGTTTGTTATTTTTATACTTCAGCATAATTCAGAGGACATCTGTATAAGAGCTCAGTGGTATTTTTTTAAATACCCCCCCAAACTGTGAGTTACTTGGCATAATCTATACCAGTGTTGAGTGACTATACTAAAACTGTGTTCTTCTCTTGCCTGGAGTAAAGCAGAAGTATCAGTGGCTGGAATGTGTCAGACTCCTTATTAGATGCTTCATAAGACATTTCCTGTTTAACCCAAAGTACACTCCTCAGAGTGCAAGACTATCCTTATTTCAGAGATAAATAAATTGAAGGCAGAACAAAGGGACGCATTATTAAACAAGAATCTCTATTTAAAACCAAATCTACTATCTCAAATTCTTTTTTTTTTTACTTATTTGACAGGTAGAGTTAGACAGTGAGAGAGAGAGAGACAGAGAGAAAGGTCTTCCTTCCGTTGGTTCACCCCCGAAATGGCTGCTACGTCCGGCACTACGCCTATCTGAAGCCAGGAGCCAGATGCTTTCTCCTGGTCTCCCATGCGGGTATAGGCGCCCAGTCACCTGGGCCATCCTCCACTGCCCTCCCGGGCCACAGCAGAGAGCTGGACTGGAAGAGGCGCAACCAGGACTAGAACCCGGTGCCCATATGGGGTGCCGGCACCGCAGGTGGAGGATTAGCCAAGTGAGCCACAGCGCCGGCCTGCAATCCCAAAATTCTTATCACCATTACCTTATCACCATTACCCTGTTGCCTCCTCTCTTCTAGACACTAGCAATAGGATTATCTTCTAAGGTCATTCATGAGTGTTATCATATTTAGTCTTCACAGCCATCTTGAAAGGCAACATTAGCTCAGTTAATCAAAAGCAAA